CATCGTCGCTTCGTTGGAAGCCGGGGGTTAGGCTGTTGGCCATTTCATCACCAATCGAGGTAACATTGTCAGTGCGGGGTTTGGTGGGCCGATTCCTTCTCTTCTACCGGTGCTCGTGTAGCTTCCACAGGTTATCTGATGAATCTCAAATGATTGCTGGGCTAGCTCAGAAACTGAGTTGTGTTGTGGTCACACTTCCTTTTGTCTGCTTGGTCTTTTGGATGCCTTCAAGTGAACGGTTCTGTTTTCAACTGTGATTGCTCCGTTGGCATTTATAGCCTGGTCCGTCCGTTAGTAAATTAGCCGTACTGAAGCCGTACTGATCTGTTGGTGAGTTTGTATGCATATGCATATGCATATATATATATATATATAAATCCTAAAGCTCCTAAAGCTTCCAATAAAGTATCCTATCCACCCCGATAATATAATGGGGGTGTTGCGTAGCTGGACATGCTTGATCAAATCAGCCTGTTCCAGTAATAGCACAATGCTGTGCTGTATTTTAAGAAATATTTTGGAGCCTTCTACAAGTGGAGTATCATTGGTTCTAAAGGAACAACTTGGTGCTCTAAGAAGTATACATATCTGAGTGAAACTCCCTTGTTAATTTTCGGTCGTTAGTTTGGCAGTGTTTTGTCAATTTGGTGACAGGTATAAGAAACTGTGAAGCTATCACACAATCGGTTACTGGTCACCGACATGATAGGAGCTTTAGAAACACTGAACTATTGGTAAGAATAGCTGTGACCTACTAAGGTCAGTTTCGGCCTCTCACCCAACAATTTTTTTTGCGGATTTTTGCATTACCAACAAATAGTAGTAACTCGTCAATGAATGATATTTGGATTTTATCCTTATAATTAGGCGCAACCCTTTTGTTAACTTCCAGCCGGCGATCAAGGAGTTGGAAAAGGTACTGGGATACCTAAAAGGCGTGAGTGCTTTGTTGGATGAGCTGGAGAAATTTATCAAAAATGTCCCTGGACCTGAGAGTACAAAAAGCATCAAAACCACCATAAACAGCATGCGCCAGGTTCTCCGCGAAGCAACCGGTTTAAACGATAAAATAATGGAACTGATTAACGCTTTTAAAGCTCTGCAAGATATCACACACTTGTTGCAGGCGATTCAGCAGTTTGGCCGTACACTTAAGGAAGTTGTCGCGGTGAGTTTTTTCATGTCAATTTGTATCAAACTGAAACCAGGCATTTGTTCCTTCTGGTAGTTAACCGCGAACACTCTTCGGTTCCTCGAAAAATATTAAATGTATAGTTTCGTGAACTGGTCGGTAAGTTGTTACCGTAGGAACAAGATTTGTTGTTCCTCAGAGGTTATAATACTAGGCGCCTGCTCAAAGTAAGAAGTCACGGATGGTTTAGGGGAGGACCGAGTATGATTCTATACGCAGGCCGTTAGCCACAAGGCAAACCCAAAGCAATAAGCTCGGCAGGCGAACGTGCACAGGTTTGTTGCCAGCCGTCAGCCGGCATGATGCGTCACGCCTGATGATGAGTGGTGAGTTGTTGAGCTAAAACTTAGACAAATTGATGGATGACTACCGTTTATCAATGGTAACCAGGTAGAAGGCTCCATCGTCCACTGATATGCTGTCATGGCTAGGCCCACTGGTGTTCCGCAGCAAGCCTGCGCACGTTCACCCGCCAATCTTATTTCTTACAATTTTCCTTCAATTTTTGTACAGCATTACATTCGGCTTCCTCTCAAGCCACCCACTGCGCTCAGTCGTCCCGTGGTTTAACCACTTTTAGCCGATAAATCCTATTCAGATTGCGGTTATTCAAATGCTCAAGTCTGCCCCGATACAGTCAGACAGTTTTCTACAACAACTATATCCTTCATTTATCACCAGATGAGCACTACCAGGTAATTATACGTACCAGTGTTTCCATGGACCGTACAGGTTTGTACATTTTGTTCCAGACACAATTAGTGTGGTGGCATGCTCCTGAAATAGTTTTGCGCTTCCCGCAGCCGTTTTGTAAAGGGAGTATAATGCTATGTTTGTCAGAACAACGAACTTTTTCTTGTTATGCAAACTCAACGCTCGTTTCAAACTGAATCTCTCATAACTTTGTTAGTTCTTGTCACCCAACGAAAAACTAAGTTGCCCCTTGGCTGGTTGTTTACAATCTTTATCCCGTAACCATAGGTGTGACGTAAAATGTGATAGGGATGTATCTATTCTGGAGTTGGATGTACTTTCAACTTCAAGTGTGAACTCCGCATTCCCTAACTGCAAATTAAACTGAAAAATCATGGTTGATGTTCACTAAACTCAAAATATGCGCGTTTTGAACTTCGTTAGTAACTTCATCAGTAACTAGTGCGTTTCCATCACCCAATCTCTAAGACCGATGAAATGTTTGGTTGCGATCTTTGTCCTACAAATTACCAGTTCCTGTTCGTTAGGCCGTCAACTACAAATTCTCTCAATCAGCTGATGAGATCAGCAGTATGAGTGTCAACCGCTAAAGTACCTGCTTTCTTAAAGGAAACTACTCACAAGTTTGCTGAAAATAGGTCGACAGCCCATGACCGGTTTCGCCCTTCTTGGGGCTCATCAGGTAGACGCGCGGTCCCCGAGTTTCCGTCAACCATGTGATCTACTTGAACCCAAATTGCACTGTTTTCGAAAAATACACTCATTTACAAATCAATTCGGTTCTCACGAGAGACTCAACTGAATCTCTCGTTTGTGATATTCTACAACTGCGATATCTCGAATATTGTGCTAACTAAACACGTGAAAACCGAATTGATTTGCAAATGAGTGTATTTCTCGAATACCTTTTTTTCTTCATTCGAAAACTCATGACAGATCAGTGGCTGACAAGTATGTTGAGGCCTTTCTCGGACAAGGAGCTGTTTTACGCGCACACGAAACTACCACATGGTAGTGCATACATATCAGCGACACATCACATCGCCAATCGTGCTTGATGTGGTCATTCCTAAGTGATCTTGTGGTATTTTTATTTCACTTTATCCCCAAAGCTTCCTGAAAATTGTGCAAATTAGTGATACTTCCTACACCCGTCCCGTAAATACCCAACGAATTGGTGGACAAATCAAAAAGCGAAACAGTTTGTTGCCACGAAGTCTGGTGGCGCTCCAAACAAACTCTGCGATGGCAAACGACGAAGGTCACGTTCAGTAGTGAAATCTCAGCGCCGTGTGGTTTTCATTACCATGAAGGTTGACATAAAGATGTTGCTGAACCTCGGAACGACGACGCCCACGACCGCCACATTTTCCTTCGCAAATTGGAAGCCTATCAGTTGGATTTGACGTCATGCTTATGGAAAACTTAATGCTTTTGCCAGACGGATACTAGCTGGCTCAACTGGTTAGAGCGCGAATTTAC